ACTATTATTAGTTTTTCATAATTATAATAAAAATATATTTTGATACAAAAAATAAAATTTTTTTGTTATATATTTTATATATAAACTTAACTTTATATACAAATAAAATGTTAAATTTATTTGATGATTTATATTGTAATTGGAGTGTTAAAAAGTAACGATTTTTATACATTTTTTTTTAAACGGTTAGTGCTATTAATTTTATGTTTGTACACATATTTTATTTATACTTTATAGAATATCCGTGAATTTTGATATACAAAAATAATATATGGATGATACGGAGGATAACATTGCCGCTGATAGAATCACATCAGAAGAAGTACTAGCAGCTATAAGTAAGCTGAAGAATCGTAAATCACCAGGCATTGACAACATCACCAATGAAATGATTAGGTACAGCGACCACGAGCTAATGATCCATATAGCGCATCTGTTCCGGGTCATCGAGGACACAGGTTGGACACCAAAGGAATGGAAGAGCATTACGGTGCCTGTATTCAAAAAGGGTATGAAGTGTGATCCCATAAACTATGGAGGCATAACGCTATTAAGCACCGTAGCAAAACTCCTCACAAAAATTTCAACGAAAAAGATCACGGATAAAGTACCCATCTGCGAAGGACAACAAGGATTTCAGACCGAACAGATCAACACTGGACGCAATATTCATACTGCAACAACTCATCGAAAAGTCCGTGGAGTTCAACAAGCCAGTGTTTGTGTGCTTTGTGGACCTAAAACAAGCATTCGACAGGATAAGGCTACGCGACGTGATCACCATCCTAAGGCAAAGGAAAGTTAGCCATCTAGATATAATCAAGGAGCTCAACACTAGCAAAAAAACAAAGATAAAAACAGATCAAGGTCTAATAAAAGAAGTCCCGGTCACCACAGGCATCAGACAAGGCGACAGCCTAAGCCCCACACTCTTCAATCTGGTCATGGACGAAATTATCCGAAGCGTCAACAAAGTAGGCTGCGGTTATAGAATAGGGGATCGAATATTGAGGATATTGTGCTATGCGGATGACGCCGTACTCTTAGCAGAAACGGAAGACAACCTACAGCAAGTCCTATGCAAATTTAAGGCGACAGCAGAAAAATTCAACATGATTATATCAGTCGATAAAACCCAAGCGATGGTGATCGCTAAAGATCCGGTCCAATGTAAGGTAGTAGCTAATGACGACATCATCCAACAGGTAAAGTTTAATTACCTTATAGGAGTAGAAACGGCAGGAATATCACCAGAGAAGTATGAATGCAGGCCGACAAAAAGCAGCAAGGATATTTAACTGCCTCAGGGACATTATATGGCGAAACCAGTACATGAGCACGCGGAGCAAAGTTAAAATCTATAAGACCTGTATAAGGTCGATCCTACGCAGCTGAAACAAGAGCAGAAACATCAAAGACTAAAAGAATAATGAGAAGAACCGAGATGAAGATACTGAGGACTACCAAAGGCGTAACCCTCAGAGAGCAGATAAAAAGCGAGACAAGAAGAACTGAACTTGAGATCAAGGACATAGTGAGGTGAACGAGAGAGCGCCAGTGGAGAGACCACGTCCACAGAATGGGCCCGGAGAGAATAGCAAAATAGCAAAGACACACAGACCAAACACAACTCGGCTGTCAGGTAGACCACCTAAACGCTGGTATCAGAGTTGGACATCAGGCTCGCAAGAGGGGTCACAGAGGTAGAATAGACAGGACAACAGTCTTAGTAGAAGAAGAAGAAGAAGAAGAAGAAGAAGAAGATAAATAATATAAAATTATTGAGATATCTACACGGGCAGTAGACATGTTCTCACACTGATTTATATTATTTTTATATATCAAAATTCATGGATATTTTATAAAATATAAATAAAATATATGTGTACAAACATTGATAGTACTAACCGTTAAAAAAAAAGTATAAAAATTATTATTTTTTAACACACTCCAAACCAGATAGTCCCCTTAACTTGGTTTAAAAAAAATTAATGTACCCAAACCTGTATATGCCTTATATCCGGAATAAGATTTCTGATTGGATGTGAAATAATAATCAATATGCAATGTATCCATATATGTATATTTTTGTCTTTGTTTCCTCACGTAATATTACCAAAGTAGAGCTGGTAATATCCGTCGCGTATTGATTTACATGTATTAGATTTTCTCCATCAGTAAGAAAAATAGTTGAAGCAGTGATCTCTGCTCAACAGACCTGGTAGACAGACTTACTTTTATTACGAGGAAGTATTGTGGATTAGGAATGACAGCAAGAAAAAGAGTCGCTTCTTAATTCATTTACCTTCCGCAGGGGAATTAATAAACTATTCCCCATTTCGAATAATGGGATTATCTGAATGACTGATATCTTTAGACATCGCAAATCGATAGTGCTAACTAATGGCGTTTTCATAATTGAAACTCTGTACTCCGACTGTTTCGTGACCGGCACGGCACGGACTCGAATTTCAAAGTAATATCATAGAAAGCACTTAGTACGCACGGACTTGCCTTCCCGGCGATATGGGTCATGAATATTTACGCGGATAGTCATTGTTATTATACTTGATTCCACTTACAATTGGCCCGCTGCTCATGTCCCGTGTATATAACGCGCGCATGTCCTACAATGTGTAGTACGTATCGCGCGAGCCTTTTGTCGCCGATTACAATGGGACGTTACAACCAATGCGGACATTTTGTTAACGACAAAATGTCCGCGTTGGTTGTAAACGTCCCGAAGAATGTTGCGCGGAGCCACGTTAACGAAGCTAAAGTAACGTCGATGCGCGCCTTAATTAATTAGCCGCATCTCTCAAGCGCTCAAACGCATACACACTGCACACACACCAATTATTCCGGTAATGATCCCATAGAAAGCTAATGTAGCGCAAACGAAGTTAATTTGAAGCGTATATATGCCAGATCGGTTGACGTTGACGTAAATATCCTTCGTCACGTGAGAGATGTGAGAGAGAATCCTAAATATAACGTACGTAACGTACTACATTTGCCGAAAAGTAAAACAAATTAACATAAATTTGAAGCGACAATGCTCTGTCAATTTTTTAGGCATTATTGATTTACATATATAAATAGATATACATAATACGTTATCTCAATTTTTGCAAAATCCTTCTTAATCCTTTTAATCATTGATTTATGCGATTCTCCGAGGTATTAAATAAACCAATAAAATATAGTTAGCGATTCTGATCGCAAGCTTATGCGACGAGTTCACGTCCGTTACTAGAAATTGGAAATATTCGATCTATGCAAATTATCGATATGGAACGTGCACATAATCCGGTTTTGCCCGGAGAAACCTATCGTCGTTATCGTATTTTAATGCACCGCGAGTATAATTAACGCTTCTATTTTAACATCGTCACCTCAGATTTTAATTAATTAAAGTATCGGTGTACAATGCGTTATAAGCCGCGGACGAAAATTAACCGATGCACTCTCCGCGTTGCGCTGTGGAAACGAAATAATATAGGCGCGCTGCTTTAATTTTAATGCATTCAGGTATCAGAATCCATCTTCCAATTCATTTAGGAGATATTAAATTGCTGCAAGCTGTTCCACGTTGTTCCGAATACAAACTTTTTTTTCTTTTTTTCTTCACGTGCTGGATAAAAGAAAAAGCAAAGTCAGCCTTTTTTCAAAACGAAGTAACGCCATTTAGCGTAATTAAATGTACACCCGTTTCAGCCTAGCAAAAACTCGTCATTTTTCTGCTCGGTAAACTCATATATCATAACGGGCACGAAAAGGGCGGTAACTGCACTCTCACGTAATCACAGTTTTTCAGTTTACTCAATTTGCTTATAATAAGTACTGCGAATTAATTCCTTCCTCTTTGCGAATTCTTTCTTTCTCTGTTTTAAAGGCCTGCGTAAAACTTGAAACAAAATATCTGCGTTTATTGAGGCAATATATTGTACGCGTGATCGAACTGGATATCCAATCTCGCAGTTAAAAGGATGATGGTAGGTATCTAATGATTCGATTTATAGAAAGACATTCACGAGCTACCGAACACGCTTCGTGAATAGATAAAAACGTTCCGAGAATTTTCTTTGAAAAGGTAAAGCGAGTCTTCCCCTCTGACAAGACGTTCCTACCTCATGCATGTTTGCCTTGTAGAATGTCGTCGAGCACAAAACGGCCGAGAACTTTTATCTTAAAATGCAGAATCCTGTGCATGCGCTGACAAAGTGCAGCGTACACCGTGCCTTCTTTAAATGGTCACATTTCTTTTATAGTTAAAATCTGACACGTTAAAAAAAAGAAGAGAAAGTATATACGAGAATGTTGTCATTGGTGTATATATATGTCAATACTCGCGGTCGTACGGAAATAATCCGTCGGTTCCCGAATTTGCATGATCAGCGGGTACGCATCTAAAAACTGCCCGAGCAAAACCACGCTCGACACACGGCTGTTTGTGTGTTCTTGATTTTGATTTGCAATTTTGATTTGCGATCGCCATGCTAATGAAATCGTAATAAGGGGTTGCATGGTTAATGTCTTCGTAAAAGCTGCTGTCGCGCGAATAAAATCCCCCGGATAAAGCGGGAGGAGAACAACAACGCTACCCGTGGAGAATAGAGACGGTTTCCTAGGCTTTTTGCATTATGCGGATATTTACGGGGCAGTTTAATGAAATCCGTGAGAGGCCGCATTTCCGGATTTGTACACGTTCGGTATAACACATAAATAGCGAAAGAGCATGTATAAATTGAATGCGGCGCCAGAGGCGGAGGCACACACGGCGCATAGGGAGATTCTCGTTTGCCTCTCGACGCTTTGAAACCCCCATTGCGATTTGCTTGAGCACGGCATTTTTCATACGTGCAACAACGGAGCCAAATCGAACACACATGCGAAAGAGATCGCGCTTTTTTTTTGTCAGTCCCCCCCCCCCCCCCGCTCGTCGTCGTTACTGCCGTGCATTGGAGATAACTGAATTTTTTATCGTTCCTCTGTTGCAGCACTGTTTCGCAATATCATACAGGAGGGAGAACCAACGGCAATACGAGCTAAAAGCGGCCACAGAGACGGACTGCAAAGCGTGGATCGATGCGATACGAGAAGCTAGGTAAACGACGGCTCGCGCGCCCGAATCGAAGATCTCGGGGCCGATTAAAATGACGCGCGGCGTCGCGCGTCGCCTTGATTCACGTCGCGGAGATTTCGCGTCCCGCGTAAATCACCACGGTCAGCCACACCGATGATCGAGCGTGGAAGGCCATGTTTTAAATGTTTTCGAGGTCTAATTAAATTTGCCGCCGGTGCGCGACGGCTTCGGTCCCGTCGAATTAATTTGATTCGCGGGTATCGACAAAAGAGCCTCCACCATTGTCGATTTTGCCGTCGATTCTACCGCCAGCGCTATTGAACGTGTTTGAATCGATTTCGATATCACCGAGCTTCCCTGTTTTCCTTTTCTGAGAAAATTAAATGCGACATTGTCAATAAACTCCACGGCTTCGTTAAATGTTTTTCAGATATAAATCAATTATGCACGTGGGACATAGGGATATATTCCGATATTCGTCACCGTTATTCGAGCCGGCACGTGCGGGCTCAAAATGCGATCACCGACAATAACGCGCGCGATATAAAAGCTTCATTTATTCGACTGAATTATAAAGCAATTTGTATAATTTTTCGGTATATCACGCCGCGCGAGGGAAACAAACTTTTTCATTAATACGGCCTCACTGGAGGCGCGGACGGATTCACTTTCTTCATTCCACGGTGTTTAATAAGTCTTCTATTTTTAATAAACGGCAAAATAATCTTGGGTCTTGCGACGCCTGAGACTTGACGCGCATTTGCTTTGTAGAACGAAAGGAGAAACGTGCAGGCTAACGGAATAATCTCGCAATGGACAATACGGTTCGCGGCGTGGCGCAATAATTAACTTTGTTTCTCCAATATCGTTCTATTTTATCAACACTCCGCTGTAGACTCTTGGTCTATTATTCAAGAAACTCCCCCTTAATCTCGTTGATGCGCTGATAAATACGCTTACGGGCACCGCATTAACATCGAGCCGTCTCAGCCACCACCTCTCTATTAATCCCGGTGCCGTAATTTGTGCACATTAACGCCGAAGTAATCTTCATCATGCTATCAAACGCGTCTTATGGGCCAAGCGGAGAGAGCTGGCCGTAACAGCCCGGTTATTGCGGAAATCCCGGCGAACAGGCCTTGCGAGGATACGATGCGAATATTACAAATATAGTTCACCTGTTAGTGCAATTTGTTCGAAACGATTCCCGCGAAAATAAAATATAAAATCGGTTATGTAAAAGGGCTTCTCCGCATATCGTATTTCTCTCGTTTATAAAGGAGATAAAGGATTTCACGCAAGTTATTTGTCTCCGCTGACGATTTTGCAGCCAGCTCGACTCCGTTTATGGATGCGTCCGAAACAATCAGCCGACAACTTTTCCGTCGCAGATGCGTCTCCTGCGGGACGTGATCGTTTCACTGATGCCCGCAGATGTGTCAAACGTCGTTCTAATGTCATATCGCGTGCGTGATGCTATTACGTGAGAAAAAATGACAGCCGCAGATCCGTGTTTTTGCCTGACGCTTCTAAAAATGACTGGAGAAGAATAAAAGTTGTACGTTTATGTTCCGACTTCGGAAATCCTACGTCATCTTCGCCAACATTTTTGTCTTCTTTGTGTTTGGCTAGTCATCACTCAAAATATTATTTCTTAATTAAGCGGCAATTGTTTTTATTATTTTGTTTTTTGAATAGAAAAAAATGATTATAGATGACTGTAAATTATTCCTGGATAATTTTTAAAATCTAAATCTCAATCCAAAATTCAATGAGAATTAAATTATATTTGCTTTCTCTTAATTATTGACATTTATATATAAGAGAAACCGTAAATAATTTATTTATCTGATATCGCTTATATGACGCAAAAATGTTTCGTCCTTTTTAAATATTTCACGGTATGAGAAGCTCCATTTCCCTTTCGCGTAGTCCTCGTTTTACCGGCCGACTTATATACGTTCGCATCCCTGCGGAACGGCTCGGCTGCCTTCTCAGATTACTGCTACTCTGCACCGTAATATGCATAGATAATGATATCCGTGTTACTTTAGCAATTCTGCCATGTCGTGCTCGAAAATACAGGGTTGATACTTCTTCGAGTATCTCGTTTCACGCATAGAGTCGATCGATACCGTGATAATTTTTTCATGCAACTTGGACCACTCGAGAGTGCTTGTTCTGCGTAAACTCAAGCGGAGCTTCTCGGAACACCGCGATATGTGGACGAGTTGTATTATGTACTTATACGGCTTATGGGTATACATGTAGAGCAACTTAATTAAAATTTAAGTTTGAAAGGAAATCTCTTACTTAATCTTTTTGATGAGAGAGACACCATGCTGTGAAATCCTTGCTTAATGTTAGAAGAATTCTAAACCTATGAAAAAAGATTCAAGACGATTCTATGTTATTAATTTAGTAGACACGTTCAATAAAGTTTAATAAAAACAAGATATACGTTAGGACATGCAGAAGTAAAGTACATCTTGCCTAACATATTACACTATTTAACAAAAAAATGCACAAAAACGAAAGTAATCATTTCCAATAGTTTTTAGACGCTATGGTATTCGATCCTATATACCGTATTAGTCTATACGTCACAATTTTGAGAAAGTGGTTAAGGTTACAAAAAAGGGTTTTTGTTCAAAATAAAATTGTTTTTTTCTGCAATTTTAGCAAATTTCTTAAAATTGTGAGCAATTTAATAAACGGAATCGTATTCAGAGATCGCTAAAAAAAAAAAAGCTATGGGAAAAGATTATCCCCATTTTTATACTCGAAGAAAGTCATTTTCTTGTGGAAGAATATATTATTCATATTATAATTTTGCAGCGATATTTAATATAAAAAAGATGTACACGTGGCGTATCATCTTTCGCGTGACATGTTCCTCTCCGGGGAAAGATACTTTACGCCTTGGTTCGTATTTTATATCATTCGTATCACTTTACTTACGGAATCGGCTAAGTTCGGAACCTCGCACCCTCTTTTTTGCGTAGATTATGCTGATAAGATATAAATGTCAAATGTCGCTAGTTACACGAGGCAATGAGAGAGATCCTAAGAGAACTAATCAATCATTTGGCATCGGGAAGTTTGGTAGTTTAATTTACAACCGAAATAATCTTTTCAAGTATAAACGTTATAAAGTAGATTATAACGTTTTTTATCTACAAAATTTTATATAAATTTTAGGTAATTTCTTTCTTAAAATATTCATTTTAAAGATGAGTATAAACGTTATAAATAGATTATAACGGTTTTTCATCTGTAGAATTTTATACAATTTTTACTACAGTTTAAAGTAACTTCTTTCTTTTAAAAAAAGTTTAAATCCAGGATAAAAATTATATAAAACTGTATAAAAATACAAAATCACAACTACGTATGCGTGCGAATTTTGTTTCGCTGGTTTTCAAGTCGTTGAAAATATTTTGAAATTTTGCGATATTTTCCGTTTCTCACACGCCTCGTGACTGCAAGCGGAAAAACCGTAATTTCATTTCCACGCAAAACTGTCCGAATGCGCACTCCGTGCATTTTTCCAGGCCACGTACGATCGAGCGCTTTACTTTTCCTTTGTACCACGGGTTCTCCGCTTAAATAACACTTTTAAGCGCGGCGCACGAGATAGGGGCGCACGAGAGGCAAGCTCTGACTCGGCATCCTTTTTCTTGGGTATTGATTCTAGCTTCAACAAATTGTTGCTACAAAAGGAGGAGCTCGAGCAGAAGCACCTGCACCTGTTGCAAATCGTCGAGAGCGAGAAAACAGCCAAGTGGCAGTACACTCAGCAGTGCGAGGAATTGGCGTCGGAGATAAAAAAACTCCGAGCGGAGGTTAGTCATATCAGCCCGTGTTATATATTTACCTCGTGATATTTTCCGCGGTAATTCTGTTCTGCGTACCCGCGTGTATTTTTATTTCAAAACTGCTCTGTGATTACATTTTGTTACGTAACGAGTAAAACCATTTGTAACGAATAAATTCATTTTTGAAAAAAATATATTGCACGAGGGATTCTGCACACTTTATTTTTATTTTAATATTAATGCTTCAAAAATTACAATAGCGCATATGGATAAAATTTTCACGACACTGTCTCAGAAAAAAAATACCTATATGGACGATTGTTCAAAAAAATGTATATTCTGACCTATATTTGAGAGACTTTTTGGCATCTTTTTGTTATCGTTTTGTTGTCACTTTTTAACGTAGTCCCTTTTTACTTCAACGCACTTATTGTTAGCCCACTAGGGCTACGGTGCTTTGATACCACTCGCATAGAAGTCTTTGTCCTGATTGTCCAATCACATTCCTACGGCAGCCATCACATCACAGAATCAATTTCTCAATTTCAAATCTCTTTTTCTTTCTCAATCTTCGTGAATCTTCGTGAATCTGCGTGAATCTGCGTGAATCTGCTGAGGGGACATGCCTTTCAGGAATAGATATTTTATGACTGCTTTTCTGCTAACCTTCAAATAATTTTAACCATTGTTTAGCTCGCTGTTTGTTGTTAACGAAAGTTGTTAACAAAAGAAGTTTGAAAAATACAACAGTTATTTTCAGTACTGAGAGTCATAAATGACTAATATATGTATGTGAAAATAGTACATGTAATGAGTAGGGAAGAGGATCCGCCCTCTCTCTGCACCCTAAAAAAACCAAACTTAACTTATATCACTGTGACAGTACCTTTTTGGCGACTCTTATGAGAGAAAATTGTTTCTCAACATGAAATGGTTTTACATGGATTTTCAACTTTCCACTCGAAGCGAGGTCCACCCTACACCGCGCAGTGCGGTTTCCAACATGTGGAATTGTATAATGACAGACTTTGTTTTGCACTACGAGCACCGGGCGGTGTGGGGTGAATCAATTACAAAAGATACGAAAGTTACAAAAGTTTGGCTTTATCTTGTTATATATACTATTTGCATGATAAGATTAAAAACTGTGTAAAGTATAAAAAGAACAAGACTGCTTTTTCTTTTTAGACTACTTTTCCTTCTCATTCGTATCGTACACTAACTTTTGTTTTAACAACTTTTTAATAAACAGTGCAGACGGCTAAGATCTTTTAATCGTTAATAATAATATTGAACAAAGGGTGGTTGAAGACCTATGCATTGCAGCCTAGAAGGCTTATTGTGTTTTCCTTTTGATTGTCAGAATTGTCTTACTCATTGTCAGAAGGATGATCTTCATAACATATGTGAAAGAGGACGTTATTGGAGGATTGTTTCTCCTAAATAGAAGTTTTACCCTTTTCAAATATACTTGTCACTTCTCGCAATACGATGTCACGGAAATTAATTGTATTTTCTGCTATATGTTTTGTAATTTGATTTTAATTTATACTGATGATAAATATGGAAAGCAACTTCCGAAGCACTTTTAGAATTAAAATTAAACTTCGCGTTTTAACTCGAATAGTGCCACTAGTCTTTAATCCCTCTCATTAAAATTTCATCGGATGTTTAATTGTGACAATGAAATTGATAACATATCGAAGTTAATAAAATTATTACGTCAGAAGAACTGATATTTCATTCAAGCGCTCGGTCAATATTTAATTCAATCTCGTTTGAGCATCCTCCACTTGGTTTACTTAAAAAATACAGGAAGCTGTTTGCCCGGGATTATATCTTCGTTGAGATTTACGGATTTCGCGGTTCTCGTTACAGCTGTGCGCCTTGAAAAGGGAGCTGAGGCCTTCCGTGATGCCGATATACGTCAACCGACCGGCGGTTCAGAGAACCATGTCCCAAGGTACCGGAAGTTTATACAGCACATTCCATCCATTTGGCAACGACGCAGACGCTTCCCCCAGCTTTGCTCCCGGTTTACGTGAAATCAGGGAGGACTCTATTGAGATGCAAAAAGTCAAGAAGGTCCAGAGCTTCTTCAGGGGTTGGCTGTGCCGACGGCGTTGGAAGCAGATTGTCGAGCAGTACATCAAGAGCCCGCACGCCGAGAGTATGCGCAAGCGGAACAGGTAATTGTTACTGCTTCGTCGTACGACGCGATGACGTCCAACTTGTTCGCGCACTTCGCTTTTCCATTAACGGTTTGTTCGTGGCTTCGCGAGTTTCATACGGCTACGTTTCGCACAGCCGTATGAAAATAAACGCGATAAGCGTCGACTAAATTGAATGCAACATTCGAAAAAGGCTGAAAAAAATGTAGAACAACGTAGCTTTTTTTTATATAAAATAAAATTATATGCTCTGACTGTTATATAAATACAACTGCAGTAATAACACAATATAATAATTTTATTTCGCGGCGTAATAAAAATAAATTTATTATTGTTCTCCCGCCGCTGATAAATTTTCCCTTAATCAAACCGCGTTTCCTCATATTTCATTCATTTGCGATATAACAGCGATGGTAAAATCGACGATTATTGGCTTCGTTTAATTTGCGCTATCGGTGGGTATTGAACGCGTGTCCTATTTCAGCCTGGTATTCCAAATGGTGGAGGTCGAGGAGGAGTACACGGAGCAGATGGAGATTTTAGTAAGCTGTTTTCTGAGGCCTTTCAAGATGGCTGCCAGTTCAAAAAAACCCCCATGTAGTCACGAGGACGTGAATAGCATATTTTTGAATAGCGAAACCGTGCTGTTTCTCCATCAAATATTCCTGAAGGGTCTCACCTCGCGTATGGAGAGCTGGCCTACTTTAGTTTTAGGTATGGACTTAAAACTACTGTAAGTAATATATACAGGTCGATATATCGGACGACGAGTCTATGGCCGGTATTCATAGTCGGATCTTATATTTAAGACCGTCTTAAGTACGATCTTAAGATGTTATGAACCACGCACAGAGCCGTATTAGCATCATAAGATATTACTTAAGACGGTCTTGAAATAAGAACCGACTACGAATACCGGCCTATGTCTCTAATGCATTCGGCGAATCAAAAAGACGCAAAAAGTTTTGCCATTCCAAGTGTCTACAATTTCTTTTTCCCCCTAACGATATTAATTTATGCAAATACAACAATTTTGTAAGAGAATAATGTATGAGGATATAATAATGTAAATGTATATTGACCACGGTACGTCTCGTCAATGCAGGTGACTTGTTCGACATGCTGCTACCGATGTTATCCATATATCAAGAGTACGTGCGAAACCACCACTATAGCCTTCAAGTGTTGACTGAGTGCAAGCAATCGTCACCGTTCGTGGCGTTGCTCAATAGGTTGGAGAACAAGACTGCCTGCCACGGACGATCCCTGGAGACCTTTCTAACATATCCTATGCATCAGGTAGGATTGCCATGCGCGGAAACTGACGCAAACCGATAACACCAATACAATTCTCATACGTAAAATGCAGAATACCGCCACGAGTTTCTGAACGTTCAATGGTATCGCTTTGTATTATTATCGCTATGGGGAGAAATATCGCTAAGAAAATGCCTCAAACGCAATATTAATTTCCTCGCTGTTCTTCTCGCGAGAAAGATGATAGAAAAATGGAAGGATTTTCCTCGGTGATACGAATACCTCTTTGGAAATTATCGATTATATGAAATAGTTTGGTATAGCTTCCATGAATATTACATGAGATCCTAACGATCTTATAAAGTGAGCGGAGTCGATGCGAAGAATATATACATTCCATCGCGTCCTTCCGCAGAACGCGAAAGTTCTATCTGAATTTATTGGTGAAATATAATTTAAATTTGCTTTAAATACTGCAGTGAGATTTTTTTTACTCTATGCTGCAATCTACATTAGTCTACTAATTAATTTCTAATTTATTTCTGCTCTACCGATATCTCTAAGAAGAGTAAAATTTAAAGTCTGTTTGACAAGTTTCGCGTCACGATTACTCTCCTAACTTTCTCTTCTCTTTTTTTCTCTCTCTGATTTTAGTGGAATTTCAGGACAAGTTCCTTAATCCAGCTACTTACTTTATTCGTTTAGGTTCCAAGATATATAATTACTTTGTGCGAGTTATTGGCGCATACGCCGTACGATCACGTGGAACGTAAGAGCCTCGAGCATGCCAAGCAACAGCTGGAGGACCTCTCGAGGCAAATGCACGACGAGGTATTTGTTAATTAACTCATCTATATAAGAATCATATTTTATTTTCGCTCTAAATATTAATTAAACATGTCCCATTATTCAGGTCAGCGAGACTGAGAATCTGAGAAAGAATCTAGCAGTGGAGCGAATGATTATCGAAGGATGCGATATTTTACTGGACGTCAATCAGGTCTTCGTCAGACAGGGTGAGTGCGTCAATGCTCTCTCTTTCGTAGTCTTTTATTTATTTTAAACATGCTCGCGTAAATATTTAAATATTGCGTATTTAAAAATTTACGCGAGAATTGAACAGTCAAAATTATTTCGCGTTCTAACGATATGGTACGTATAACTATTATTTTCTATTTTAATCATTTTTAAATGAAATATGGACAAGCTGTGCCCAGTACAATGTTGAAACTACCGAGTATGAAAAATTATTTTTGCATATAGAAAAAATATTTCACTTTGCCGAAGTCGATAAAATCGAGGCTACTTGATAACTCGCGTATCTCTCACGGTTTATCTCTGGCTGGGAAACTCGTTTCTAGACTTGATCACTGTCGGTAAAGCTCGATAGGCTTCCCCCTCGTCAGGGATGGGGAAAGCGGAAGTGGGGGGTCAAAGGGCGCAAACGCACAGTTACATGTTCGAAATCGATGACGCAACTTGGTCGCGTCGATATATTTTCGTCGGTATATACTCGGTTTCATCTCGATCCTGCGCAATGTGTCCTGTCAGGGCCGACGTACTGTTCTACTACTGGCGGATTTTCGTCAGACGAAAAATTCTTACGCCACGTTGATTACATGACTCAATAGCGAATTGCGACACAGTTGCGTGCAAGCGGAATGTCGCGTGATTGCAGAAACTGTAATTTCATTAGTCGTTTCAAATTCGATAAAGTAGCTCTTCTGATGGTGTTTAATCGCGTTCATAAATTACTAAAGAATATTCGAAATTCCATACAATACAATTCAAATCTTAGATATCTGCTAAGAATATTAAATAATGACCTGAACATTGAAAGAAGAGGCTTAAAATTTAATTTAAATCCATATTTGCAAGGAGTTGTATACATGTTCAAAAATTAATTTATTATATTATTAAATTAATTTTTTATTATTATTTAAAAGAAAGCAGAATATAAAATAAAAAGTACGGTTGAAACATCTTGTTTTGCAATAAATGTCGCATATTTTCGCTAAAGGTAAGCAAGGAATAAAGTAAAGCGAAACTATTTCAAGTACAAGTAATAAAACTCTTGTCTTGTGGTAAGCCGGCCCTATAAACACGATCCTGGCAACCCTCCTCGTGCTTGACGCCACATCACATGGTTATCACGTAAACGTCTTTCGGTCGCCAACGGCAGAGCAGACCATCCCGCGAACGTCATCCCTCGTTCGCCTCTCGTTGCGGCAAAAAATCAGCCGGTGCGAACGTCACGATTCGTTCCAAGGCAAACGAGGGTCGCGATTTTCTTCGAGCCTTACCTCTGTGTCCGGGGATATTCGGCGATATTGCGAGCCTAGAGGTCGATGAACGAACGAACGAAAACAAGCGGCGACCAATCCGCGGCATTGCCATTTTGTCGGTCCATCAGTACGGTGCAGCGCGCATAAAGACCACGAGAGTTTCGCAAGCCCTGTTTCTGTTAACGTAATAGCGTCGATAGCGAGAAAAGTGGGACCAAGCGATGTGTGTGACGCTGATGGTAGGGACCAAGGATAATCGCAAAGAATCAGCTATAGCTATTCGTCTGGATGTACATAGATAAGGTACACGCGTTGCTTTTTCAGTGATGTTGGAAGGACTCGGTTGAAGGTTTCAAAAAATGAATAATAAATCCTAGAATAAGAGAACTGGATACGTCAATATCAGATAACTATGAAATTGCTTTCTTTGTTAATTCGATCATAAGTTTTGATTTATTTATATGTAGAAACATAAGTTTGGTTTATTTATAGAAACATAAGTGCGCAACGTCTTTTTCTCAGGAAGAAAGAGACGTGAAGGATATTTAATTTGAATTGACTTGGCTAGCTGTTAAAGAAATTGTCACACTTCCAACTTTTTTTTTTCTAAAATCTAAATGGCTTGAAACCTACCTGATCTTATCTAGCTTTCTCCATTAAAAGAAAGATGAATTTACGATGATTGAACGATGCCGGCGTAATACCGGCGAATTCAGATTTCGGTTTACAGTTTCAAAAAGATATGTTTTGCATTACTGACAATATATTCAGTATCGAAAATTGAACTCCGCGGAATAGTCAATTTCAATTTCTGTATGACGTCAACAGCGCAGGCACGATATTGCGTATTTCGCATTCCCGTCCGTCCTGCTATTTTTAAATGCGCATAGGCAGCTTCCCCTAATTGTATCGATTATTTTAAGATAGCTCGTTTTGGAGCCAGAAAGCCGACAAGCCAGAAAGATGAAATAATTCTTGTCGGGCGTTATTTCCTCCAACGGAGAACTTCGTTCTCCGACGATGTTAATAATAAAATCGTATAAATCGCCGCGGATCATGATCGACTTTGCATAATCTGTCCTACCGGCTTGTTTCAGGTACGCTCATACAACTTGTGGATAAACCGCGTGGTGCGCGAAGCAGATTAAGCGCTACATTTGGCGGCAAAGCCGCGAGCGACAGGGAGGCTGTCAGACAGTGCTTTCTCTTCTCGAATCATCTGTTGCTCACGACTCGCCAGTCCGATGACGACGGCCGTTTAAATCTTGTTGCGCAGATTGGCAAGATACCCCTTTCCGACGCGGTGCTGATTGAAGATCCGAGCGATCAGGGTGCCACAGATGATGATGGTAATTATTTACTCGTTGAAAAAGTAATGACCTGGTATCTTATAGCTTCTTTCGAGATCTCTTTAAATCGGCGATACAAGAATTTTTGTCAAATTAAAAATGAATATTAACCCTCAGTTATCTCACCAGGGTCTGAGAGACCCTGCACGTTGTTAAAACGTGCAGGGTTTTTAAAACGTTCATAAAACCCTTGTATCTTTTTTTTAGTCGGTACTACGTCAATTTGAAAAAAAAGCATTTTTTTGCTTCTTCAGAAAAACAAGTTTTCTTTTTTTAAATAACATTTACATTTTTTAATTTGGAATAATCTAACTTACACAGTCCTGTAGATCTTTAAAAGATGTATCGATTAAAAAAAAAGACGTCAAATTGATGCATTTGTCTTAAAGATACAAGCTGGAAAAGATGACAGAGGTCTCTCAGACTCTTGTGAGGTAACAACGGGTAGTGAAAACGTAAGATAACCGAGGGTTAAGTTATCGATGGATTAAGAATACGAAAAGGATCAAGTAATTTAAAATTATGTCGTATACAATCCTTGCTCTTTCTTTATGTAATATATAGATCGTGTGTGTGTTTGTGTGTTGTCTCAAAGGCTAGAGATAGAAAATTTATTCGATGCTACAAAGTAGCGATCATAAACTAATTTTAGGACTGTCAGTATGTTCGATGTCAAGTGGCATTAGCGAGAGTAGCGGAAGCGGTAGCGGCAGCGGGACTTCCCAGTTGCAGAATCGCGACTTCAAGATTATACTCGATATAAAATCCGGTGGACCGCAGGTGATCGTTCACCTCGTGGCACCTACCATGCAAGTAAGTGCACATGTTAAAACTATAAAATATTAAAACAGATAATCTTGTCGTCGAACAGGACAGATATTCATAGCCGTGGCATTTCTTGGCGAATAAGAATTTTTTATTTATACATATGTGCATATAAATATATATGCATGTATAAATAAGAAATTCTTATTTATACACGAGTTTCTTATTTATTAAGAAACAAGAATACTGCCCAGTATTCAAGTATACACTCTATAAATTAATTTACCTATACAAAGCATGCACTTTAAAGCTGTACTCCCACTTCGTATTCGAGCTGTAAAACAATTATAAATAAAAATAATAGAATTACAAAATTTATAGATCGTTTTTGCTTCTATTATCATATATGCATTATGAAAACTTTTCGCAGGAAAAAGCAGCTTGGGTCAGTGATATTAGTCAATGTATGGACAACGTTCATTTTAACGATCTGCTCCACGGATCGTTATCGGACACCAGCTCCGTCACGATGCCGCAGTCCATCCGGAACGATCCGAAGTTGTTCAAGGACGATGTGGACATCAGGTTCAGTCGGACTTTGAATTCCTGCAAAATACCGCAGATTCGTTCCGCGACGCCCGAGCGGCTGTTGCAGCGACTGACCGACCTCCGGTTCCTCAGTATCGATTTTCTCAACACGTTTCTGCTGACGTACCGAGTGTTCACCGACGGCGTCACGGTGCTGGAGGCTCTCAAGAAAGTTTTCTACGAAGCCGAGCCGCCGGACGCGCAAATACCCACCGGATCCCTCGTGTAAATATGATAACGAGTGACAGCAATTATTAGCTTAAAATTTATTTAGTTTTAAGAATTGAACAGAATGATTATAATTATCAATTTATCAAAAAAACTCGATAATATATTGTATTATATGTGATAAAAAGAAAACTTTTTTGTGAGTATTATATTACTATAGAAAAATATTTTTTACAAATATTTTTATGTTACTGATAATTATTCTTAACATGCCTGAATATTTTTTATATTTATATTTCAGATCCTTAGACGTACTAGGAGCAAATGCCAGCGAAACACAATATTTCGAAGACCGAAGAAAAAGTAACTTCTCACCGAGACGAACTAGCGGCGCGAGCTCAGTATCAGGTGCATACATTAAAGCTTCTTTTCAATCAACAATTAATAATATATTACTAGGACGATATAAGATAGTTGCGGCTTTTAATTATTAATAGCGAGTTGCTTCATATATAGGATATGGATCAGAAGTGAGCGATACCCGCGACGCGAAATCTCATGGGTCCTCTGACGCTAATACAAGCGGATACAATTCAAAAACTCACTGGCGATACAAAAAGCGTCAGTATCTTGCGGTTTACAATATATTACATAATTAAATTTAGAATTGAAAGAAAAATCAATTGTAATAATAAAAAATACTTAAAATAAAAGTAACGTAACGTAAAAGTGTATCAAAATGCGATATAGAATTTCTCGTGTTTAGTGGATGAAGAACAATCGCTCGGACTCATCTCCGAGGCCCCGATCATAAAACGCAGTCCAACGTCCAGTCCATCCAGCTCGTCACAATCTCCGGTTGTGTCACGAAAAATCAGTATTCGTGTGGATCAGGACGGTGAAAACGACGGGTGTCATCTAACGATACCGAAAGTAATAGCTGTGTCGTCCAGTTCTGAGACACTCACAGGTATAAGCGCGGATATTAATTATATGTATTAATGCAAGCTCTTAAAGCTATAGAATTTGAATTATATGTAAAAAGTCAATGTTAAATTATTGTTAAATTTAAATTTAATGCAGGTTTAAATTATAGTATTTAGAGACAAAAAGGGAAAGTTTTTTCCGATATTTTTATACTGTTTAACTTTAAGAGAAATATTAGAATGAGAATTATTATATAGGTAAATTAGTTTGAAATTTTATACATATATTTCGTCTCTTATTTGATAAAGTTGTAATATACTGATGTGTGAAAAATATTTGGAACGTAAGACGTTACAGCAATCAGCGCACCATCTTCGCCAAGCAACTTGAGCTCCGTGACGCTCATCGGGTCGACGGAATCCGGATCCGGATCCAGATCCGGATCCGCTTCCGGATCGGATCCAAGTCCTCAAGAGGGAGGTACTTACTCGCGTCGTGTCTCGGATATCGAAACACCAGTCACAACATCAGAAGAGGATGCAAGAGGTAATCTTTCATTAGATATAAACTAATTACACCGCTTGTTTTTCTAATTAAATTTAGTGTTTATAATATATAATTAATACGTACAAAATAAATTATAGAAGTACAATTTACTTATGACGACATACCGTCATTATCACAATCGGTCGAGTCTGTCAAGTCGGACACGCCAAAAACGCCGAAAACGCCGAAAACGCCGAAAACACCGAAAACGTCGAAATCACCGAAATCACCGAAAACGCCGAAATCACCGAAAACGCCGAAAACACCGAAAACGCCGAAAACGCCGGACACGTCAAGAACGCCGGAGACGCCGAAAACACCGAAAACACCGAAAACGCCTGTCTCTCCGTTTATAAAGGAAACCAAGGAAAGTAAAGAAGAGCAGGCTACGCCGAACGGCGACGAGAGTGTAACCTCTTCTAAATTGATCAGTCAATCGGCGCAGCAGAATCAACAACAATATTCGGAGCATAGGGCGTCGATTGCTTCCGCGCCTGCATCCACCGGGCCAAGGAGTGGCTCGGTCTCCACCATATCTGGCGTACGTGTGAATAACAAAATGTGAAAATTTCTTCAAAGGCGTAGTAAATTAAATTAATCGGGGGAGAAAAAAATAATTTTTCTTTAATCATTAAATATTTATGAGCTCCCAAAATGATAATTTATATAATCATCACAATTGTTTGTGTGCGGTTTAATGAATGTTTTTAATTTCGCGATGAATTTTTGTAGAATTATCGGGTGAGCAGACGGTCGATGCATGACGAGTGCTCCTCGCAGCAAAGCGGCTATCAGCATGACCCACAGGTTTCCAGTAAAGCCGGTGTGGTAATAACCAGCTTTCGGCAGAGTCATCGAAGGTTTGTTTTAATATAGCCTTTATTTTACGTGTTACCTGCATTTTATCGTGTCTCTGAAACTTTCGAAGGCATTCGTATCGATAAAAATTATCTCTATTTCGTTCTTGCTGAATGTTGAGTGCCGTTAATGGCAATCTCCGCCTTCTAACGCATGAGAGCTTCTTCTCGATATCATGTTTCATTTATCAGAGTTATAATTAAAATCATTCTTAGAGGGAGAAATTGGTGGAGAAATTGGAGAATATATTAAAGAGAAAGGATAATGTCTTATAGACTATTCGGCGTGTTTTCTGATAGTTTAGTCCGTAAGATAGTAGATAATTTAGAGTTAACATATAATTTCTCCCGCTTTGTGCAAAAATTTATTTTTTCAAAACCCGATATAATGCAACATTTCTGGTTTGTGCCTATTTAATATTCAAAAGAATTGTAAATATATTGTAAATACGTTAAATTTTTTATGCTTGTATCATAAAAACTGTTTTATAAATAATTTACAACTTATTTTAATACAATGTATTCTTTTTAATTAACTTGTAAATATCTCAATCTTTAGTTTCTTTATAATCGATAAATAAAATTCTATAATAATTATAATGCAAAAATCACTCAATTCAAAACTGTTGCTCCATTTTTGTTTGATTTAAATTATGTCTTTATCACCGTCGCGTCGTCAAAATCGAACTAAATAAGTGAGAATCCTTAGATCAGAAAGATACTCCTGCTGTCGTTTCTATTCAACCGTGTTTTCATGTATTGTTTTGTGTCATTCATAGCATTGGACCTGAACCTATCTGGTAAGTGGACTCATTTTGAAAAGCATCATTATCCACTTATTGCGTGTAGCATGGCTGCGATCCTCCTGCTTGCAACATCGTTAGAAACAAAGCCTGAAATGTCTTGCGTGTCTTGTGCTCTGCTCTGTTATTATACAAATCTCTGGCTTGGTCGAAACTTATAGTTATCGATTTTCGATAATTTTAATTGTAATGTAATCCTTAAACGCGTCTCTTTCCCTTTGCTACTAACTGCGCCGTTTACTCGCTTACACACGATTCAATTTCACTCAGTCTATTTCTTCATCATTTAGAGAATGCACCATAGTGAACGAGAAAATGGACCAAACGAAATAGAAATAGTTTTTACCCGATAGCCGCCTTGTGCCACTGCGTGCTTTTATAGCGCTGGATATTCCAAAGAACGATTGAAATCGGCAATAATTCTGGTGAATTCGAATCTCGATGCTATTGAGATGTATTTCTATTTGTTACATCAGCTTATTACATGACATAATATAGTCAAGTATTATTTAAAAAAAATAGAAAAAATAATATTCATTAAATCTTTTCTCGTACCGTTCTTTCAGCACAATCTAACGTTAGATACATTATTTTATATTTATATAGCATCAAAACTTGAACTCGCTGAAACTATGCCAGTTACAATCCTTACTCCAAATAATATATATACTTTGTAGCGACACAATAATATAAAAACAGCAAATAAACAGTACCTACACCGCTGACTTATCGATATCTTAAAACTTCTTTTGCAAAATCGAGATGCACATTAACTTCTATTTGCTTAAGTTACTCACGATGCTTATTACATGATATAATATAGTCAAGTATTATTTACAAAAAAAAATAGAAAAATAGACAATCACCGGATCTTTCCTCGTGCCGTTCCTTCAGCACAGTACTGTAGCATGCTTTAAATACAACGCGAATGACCTGATCGCCAGGTTAAAACGATAGAGATTCGCCTAATGCAACGTAGAACGTAGAGCGAACGCGTAGATCAGTCGAGATGAAGAAAGGTCGAGGATTCGACGACTAAAAAGACTCTGATTTTTATTTTTACGAACATGGTCGCCGATATTCGTCGTTACTAAAATCAGTCCTGAATTCAGGAGCAGCACGTCCACGGCGGCGACCGCGTTTGCCATCGCGACTTCCGCCTCGAGCAATCCACCGGACATAGGGCCGTCCTCCGGGAACGACAACAATCGCGGCCGGGATAGGAATAGGCGGAAGGAGTCCGTGATGTCGACCGCCGCGACGATGAGAGTGCTGAACGTTCTGAGGCACTGGGTGTCCAAGCACGCCCAGGACTTCGAGATGGATCAGAAATTGAAGAGCATGACCATCGAGTTCTTGGAGGATATCAATTACAGTCCCAATTTGTTGCCGGCTGAACACAAGGCAGCCACTCAACTTCTGCGATTGATTACCAAGGAAGAAACCGAGAGCAACAAGGTCGATTTGAAGAAATTGCTAACTCCCCCATCAGTAAGTAATATCTAACAATAATCTACTCATTTAATATTGATTAATAATAGAAATAAAGTATTGTGCGCAACCACATTGTTTCATTTTAGTCAGACATTCATGGAGAACAGTTCTTTGGTAACATTTTTACACGCGCGCGAATTTAATTTGATATATAATTTTATTAAATTATTATTAATATTATTCATGATAATCGTTGTGCATAATCTGGAGGCGTGTTAATTAGAATATCATATTATATTGTTTAACAAAAAAATACACGAACGAAGATAATCGTCTCTGGTAGTTTTTTGGGGCATTAAATATGATCTTGTTTAATTGTTCTATCACGTCACAATTTTAAGAAATTTACGATTTTTGCATAATTAAAAAATATTTAGCAGACCCTTAAGTCGCTTATAAGTTGCAACTTGGACTTTATTATATATATATATATATATAATCATAAATATCTTTTTAAACAGTATACTCTATTTTAATTAGAATAAAACTTCTCCAACATGTTACATAGTTATAATATGCGAAAGTAGGGGAGACCGGGGCCGATAATGAAAAAACTACACTGGATTCGTGCCTCGAGATTTGGAGAGCAAATATTATTGCAGATATTACAAAATTTCCACGCGCAGAAAATTTCACTTTCACCTTCCGAAAACACGTTTGCCCTCGTAAAAATCATAACACGGCAGGTAACCTGCCGAAACTCCGTTGGTCACATGGGTACCATAAGCAGCGTTTACAAATGATAATAGCGAGTTCGCACAATATACAGGTTCCGAGATATTTGATTTGACGGTTCAACCCCGTTGACGGTTTAGCCCCGGTCTTCCCTATACTAAAATAGTCCTTTTTGCAACTTTAATGCAAATTTCTCAAAATTGTAACGTGATAGAATCATTTGGGATTATATTTAATCTAAAAAAACTATAGGAAACAAAACGATCATTAATAATAATAATGATTTCATAAAATTTAGCCGGGCTAATGTTCGATAATGAATTCTCTTCAGATTCCAAGTAAGGAAAGCATCGAGACATTATCTGCACTCGAGATCGCGGAGCAGATGACGTATCTGGACCACCATATATTCGTCTCTATCTCCAGCGAGTAAGTAACGGATTACTAAATCACATCGTTGTGCTGTTTGAGTACGTAGGAATTTATCTTGCAGAGAGTTTCTTGGACAAGCATGGATGAAAACGGATAAGGCAACCCGCGCGCCCCATATTCTTCTTATGACGAAGAGATTCAACGAAGTGTCGCAACTGGTTGTTTCCGAGATTATTCGTCGCTCCAACATGTCGGCCAGAGTTGCCGCAATCGAGAAATGGGCCGCGGTCGCTGACATCAATAGGGTTCTGCATAATTACAACGGCGTGCTGCAGATTTGCGCGGCGTTCACAAACAGCAGCGTGTACAGGCTGAAGAAAACTTGGGACAAAGTTTCCAAAACGGTACGCTGATCAAAAATTCCTGAATAATTTATAAATTCAATTTTGCACATAATTCATTTTGCTCGACAATAGTTTTGTGTAAATAGTGAATGCTATTGACAGCAAAAATCAATTTTTGCAACACTCCACTGAAATCCATTTTTGCAACTAACACTGTTTAACAAAATATATTTTTTTTTTGGAACGCAAGAACGAGGGCAATAATTTTTAGATTGAATATAATCCAAATTATTCTATCACACTCACGCCACAATTTTGAGAAATTTGCAGTTAAAGTTGCAAAAAGGACTATTTTAGTGTACTTTTGCATATTATAACTACATGTGAAATGCGACATGTTGAAGAAGTTTTATTGCAATTAAAATGAAATATATTGTTGGGACTTTTAGCCCTTATAAAAGGAATTTATTGTGTTGATTGTGTTTAAAAAGATATTTATGATTAATGTAAAGTCTATTTAGTCAATGGATTTTTATGTTAAACAACGTAATATTTATATTATGGTATTATAATTAATACGCATTCGCAAATTATGCACAATGATTATCATTAATTTCCAGACAAAACAAACGATAGAAAGATTACAGCATATCGTCTCATCTGACGGGCGCTTTAGAAATTTGCGAGACGCCCTGCACCGATGCGATCCACCCTGTATCCCTTATTTAGGTCTTTACCTCACCGACCTCTCGTTTATTGAAGAGGGTACTCCAAACGTTACCGAGGGTCTTTTGAATTTCTCGAAAATGCGAATGGTGAGCGATACTTCTTCACAAATTATTTAAGAATTATATTTAAAGTCCTCTTCTATATCAAATTCTTTATTTTATTATCTATTTGGTAATAAATATAGAAGAATTGAAGAATAATTTATCTAAAACCAATGATGCATGTACCGTTTATTAATTATTTTACATCTACTATTTGCTATCCACACACATTAATAAACAAAATTACAAGAAGATATTACATGTCTTTTCAGATTTCTCACGTAATCCGCGAGATACGGCATTTTCAGCAAACTCCTTATAAGATCGAACTAGTCACTAAGGTAACCAACTATCTATTGGACACGTCGCTCTTGCTGAACGAGAAGGATTTGTATCGCATGTCCTTGGACCTCGAACCCAGAACATCCAGGTTGAGTAGTTCTACCTTAATAGTAGATCTACCCTCTTCGGTCAGCCACGTGTCTACAAAATAAGTTCATTTCGTCCCGAAATTCTGTGTGAAACAACTCAACTCTACCTTCATTTCACTAGATAAGAAGAATGGATGAAAAAGAGAAGTCTAGGTTCGAAAAGATAAACCATTTGTTGCGACCGGCCGATCGACGACGATCGCGAATGTGACTCGTCGTGCCATCAGCCCCGTCCATTTCTGTCCACCTTCGCTTGTAACGTAACGTCCGTTAACTTCTGTTGTTGTTTCATTTTTATCTATCGCGACATATTTGCGCAAGAGTTATATAAATAAGCTCAACAATGATCTCATCGTCGCACAGAATCGGCCTCTAATTCGCAAAAGAAAATTTATCGTTATTTAATAAGTATATAACAGTAGCAGAAAATTGTAGCGAAATTAATTGGATTTGAAAGAAACTTTCGTGTAATTAGAACTTGCTATTGGGGTTGTCTTTCAATTATCTTCTCTTCCATTATTACTGCAGTTAATATTATTTCTACTTAAAATTTTAAGATGATAAATGTCCTATTTCTATCCAAAGTTTGAAACGAACTGACAAAGAAAATCGCAGATTTTAACAAGAGCATTTAATAGTAACGTGTATAGATTCCAGATCAAGCATGACTCTGTACATAAAATCTGATGAAGATAAGAATACAAAATATTAATTAATGTAGAAAGACTCTCTCGTAATAACATGATTATGCTTAATCTCTCCGTGTCGTTGATAAAGTAATAATCTTATTCAGAAATGTGGTCAGTTTGATCTGCCCGATAAATGATCCATATTTCACGGAATACCCGAATTTTTTACAAGATAAAGGCTGTCGTTAACACCGGCTGATCTCCGGTGAAGATAACAAAGAGAACCATCATTGATTTTAGTTTAGCTAAGCTCAATCGAGCCAGTATTATTGTGCGAGGCGTATGAGCAGTTCAAACAAGTACGTTTGAGAGAATCGATGAGAAGCGAAAAAGGGGTGATGGGAAATTATATTCTGACAATCAATAGCATAACGATTTTGCTGTTTTCCGTTTGTTCTAATTATTGCTGCGAGTATCAAAGCAAAGAAACTCGCTTGTCAAACAGCTGAAAACCTTGAACCATTATTTTCTAAAATAGTATAAAAGTATCGTAATATCTCATTTTCGTTAAACAATTTGTTTTGTTAACGTGTCTTGAATTTTCGATTCTAGTTCTGACCCGGATATTTATTGTTAAAATAACATTTATTAATTCCAAAACATGCAAAACTATATACATA